TGAATATGGAAAAGCTGTTGAAATTTCCAGCTAACTTATAGCTATCTATTTTATATTAATATTCATCTGACATATATTATTATATATAATATAAAATAAATATACATAATTATTATACTGCTTGTGTTCTCGATTATAGCTTTTTTCAGCACTTATTGCCTATATTTAGCCTTTTTTAGCTAACTGTTGCACAGAACTAGCTAATGCGGGTGGTCCTAACCTGCCAACACTGATGCCAACGGCGCGAGCGAAAATTCGCGCGCGAATTAAAGAAAATCGAGGATAACCGAAAAATGAAAATAAAGTTGTCTCACTCACCCCTGTACATTCGTTGTTGCTTCAGCTTGACTGCAACGGCGATTTAAGTCGTAATTGAGTAATTAAGTAATTGAGTAGCCAGAGTAACGCGCACTGATCTTGGCTAAGTATGGTTTACAAATTACCGAAAAAAACGCGACAGCGGCCCGGCCTAAGTTTTGGGAGTGCTCCGGGGGTGCTCCAAGTCTTTCCCCCTCACTTGATTCACTCTAATAGTTTTCACTGCCGGTTCTCGATGGTTTCCCACACTTTCCGCGACTGCCGCTGCTTTTCCGCCGTAGGTTTTCCGCGTTAAACATTTTTTCGCGATCTCCTTGCGTGGCGCCATGTTCGTTTTCGGTTTTTTTCCGAGTCTGTTTTTTCCTTCCGTTGCGTCCGAGCGGTGTATAAGAACTGATTTCCAATTGCCATCGGGAGAGAATGCTAAGCCGGCGGCGATATTTTGGTGAATTTCTTGTTGGGAAGAGAGCGGATACGGCAATATCGTCAAATGACAGGTGGCCACTTATAAGAGGCTGCCAATTTTGAATTGGGCGCGATTCAATTTGAATTGCTAGCTTGCATCTTGTTTTTCTAATTGGGCTAAATTAAATAGTTAAAAATATAATAAAATCGAGTAACTAATAAATAATAAAGGAATAATAAAGTAATAAATAAATAATAACAAATAATAATAATATAATTATATTTTTAGTTTAGAAGTTTAAAAAGTAGTGGAGTCATTTCTGATCGTATAAAGTATACATATACATATATTCCTGCTTAGCATCGATTTCCCCAGTTTTGAAGCTAAAAATCTAATTTATATTCTGAATAGTATATTAGTCTAAAAGGACAAGATCGGATGACTATATTATGTATATATCGGCCATAAAAACAAACAGGAAATTAAGCAGAAACATACTTTTATACTTTTTATAAGGTACCCTGAGGTAGCTTTTCTTTATTGTTTATTTAATTATTTTTGTTCTAATTTTATGACTACATCATAGCAATTTTTTAACCTGTTCCTAGTATTTTTCATTGCTAATTTCAGGTAGTAAAATTTAAATTTTAGAGCTGTAAAAAGTAAAGTTTTCACAGCTCTCGATGTTTCCATTTAAATTTCAGAACGCTCAGAGATTTTTGGCTTTGGCAAATGTTTGCACGACCAACATACATACATAACCCACCAACCCCCCCTTGTTTTTCCACCCCCCACCCCACCTCTGTGCACCTGCTGAAATTAAAATCGAAATCATAACATGTCAACACACATTTTGTAATGCAGCAAAACTAACCAAAAATAATAAAAGTCAGTCTGGCCAAAAAGAGTTGCTCTGCAAACAGGGAAAATAATGCAAATGCAAATGAATATCCGCGAGGGGAGGAGGGGGAGGAGACGAGGTTGGAACAGGTGTTCCACTTGCTTCTTTATGCCAATAAAAGCGGTTTGCATATGAGTGTGTGTGTGTGCGATGGTATAAAAATGTAATAACAAAGTTGGCGGCGACGGGCGCTGCTTTTTATGGCCTTTTTTGTCATTGCGTTCATGTGTGTGTTCCAGTGTGTGTTCCTGTGTGTGTGTGTATATGTTGTAAAAAACTATTTGCCCAAGGTTCGAGGCATGCCTCCACATCCTTTCCCAGAGTGCATCCCTGACTTCTGTGTTTACCAGCAAAATGCCAATGGTCACAATGTCCCTGAAGGCAGGGTAAGTCAATGGGGCCAGTATGCAGAAAAATTGTCCAAGAAATTAAAGATATTTAATACTTTCCTTTTATTATTTAATAAAGGATTTTTGTAGGATTTTATGTAGTTTATATGTAGTATTTAATTAAGTTTTTTAGTAGAATTTTATATAGTATTTAATGTAGTTTTGTAGTAGACTTTAATGTTGTTTTTTATATAGCATTTTATGTATTTTTTTAAATAGAATATGATGTAGTTATTATATATGGTATTTTATGTAGTTTTTTTATTAAAATTTTATCTATGTTTTATTATGTTTTTTTTTTGTAGTATTTTAGTAGAATTTTATGTTGTTTTTAGTAGCCTTTTATGTAGTGTTTTAATGTAGTATTTTTATGTAGCATTTTAGTAGTATTAAAGTAATACTTAATGTAGTTTTTTATGTAGAATTTGTTGTAGTATTTTATATAGTATTCAAAAAATAGTTTTTAATAAAAATATGTAGTAAAAGTAAAAAGGCAGGCTTGAATAATAAATAAGACTCTGCTTTGGACCTTTTTCTCATCAGTAACCCATTTTTACACCTGCTGCAGAGGCTCCTTATAAAAATATGTCTTAACTTTACAAAATCTGCAATTTTAAAAATAATTAATAAAAAGGATAAACCCCTTAACCGAAGCACCCTATGGTATTAGAATCCCGGTTTCGTTATCATTGTGCCAAATGTAACCGCACGACGATGAAAAGTATGCTATGGCATTCGCTCCTGGCCTCCTGCCGAGAGAAGGACTCTCCAGCTGCAGGACTATGACGATACCAATACCCAACCGAGTCCGGAGTCGGACTCCAGGGGTCCCCCTCTTCCTCCTACTCCTCCATGTGCATTGGCATTGGCTTCGCCCGTCAGCGTTTTCATTTCAAATTCAAATGCTGTTTGCATAAAAAACGAGCCAAGACATCGAAAGGCATCACGTGCCCAGGATCCACAGCCCCTGTCCTGTCCCGAGTCCTAGCCGCCTAGCAAAAATGGGGGAAAAAATAGAAGGAAAGAAAGAAAAAACTAGTGGAATTCGAAAGGATGCCCTCCTGCAGTTCCCTCTTCGGTCCGTCAAAGGAGTGACAATAGCAGCCCAACGGATGGCTCACGAGATGGATGAACATTTGGACAGTGGATGCACAGGAAGAAAAAATATAGTAAAATAATATGGAGAGCAATGAAAATTTATACAACAATTTTATCAGATTTCGATTTATTTTATATATATTTTTTTAAATTAATTATATCAATTTATGACTGTAGTTATTGGTTTTTGTAATTTAAGCAAATGGTGTAGGAATATAGGAAAAGGTTTTTAATTAATTAATAAAATTTAAAATTCTGCGTAGAAAAGCTGTTGCAACACTTTTTACTTTTGCAACACTGCCACCAAAACAGCTGATTGCAAATGCAAATATTTAAAATTCTTAATTAATAGCATTGCTTTTTACGAAAAATCAGAAAAGATAATTAAATAATTTCCAAAGCAAATTGAAAGCAGTACTTAAGCTCTCATATGAAGCTTAATAAATAGTTTAAATAACTAATTTTTAAATAATTTTTAACATAAAACTCAATTCCATTTATTTAAGTGTGCTTTCCCCTACTGAATTGAGTGGGTTAAGTTGTGGAGGATATTCGCAATAACGCTGGTCTCCTCCATTTCCACCCAAAAAAGCGTCGAAAAAAAATGGAAACGAAATTGCCAAAGACGTTTCCATGAGAGCAAGTGGGATAGAGAAATGCAGAGCGGGATAGAGATAGGCAGAGGAGGAGAGAGGCAAATAGCCAGCTGGCAGTCGCTTTTGCATGTCCGTGTTGGGTTAAGTGGATTGTTTACTTTGATTACAAAAATATGGCAAATGTTTGCACGTTTGATGTCTCACTATGTGTGTGTGTGTGTGTGGAGCAGACAGGAGATAAAAGAGAGAGATGCCAGAGAGTGAGAAAGACGAGAAACATGGACAGAAACTATGAAAAATAAAAATTATAATATTTAGACATGAGCAAAAGTCTCACTAAGTTATTCTATATAGAAAGTTCTTGGAAATAAAACAAAATCCTTATTTTTAATGCAAAAATTTCAAGCTTTCCATTTAAATAAAGTGACCATTTCATTTTTTTTTACTAATAAGGCAAATTGTACTTTTTAAATGCTACCATCTGACTACTTATCGATTATTAATTATCCATTATTTCGATAGTAAATATATTTAAAAATCTATAAATTTTTAAGTCTGCAAAAATTAACCTTCTCACGACGTCATCTCCAATGCAAATACATACAGAGATCCATTTGAGAATCAAGGAGAGAGAAAGAAGTACAGTCAGACAGCGAGACAAATGGCGATGTGCCTTGGCGCGCTTTTGAAATCCAAAGACTAACAATATTACAAAACAAAAAAGAAAAATCTGCAGTTATACATTTGACTTTGGTTTATTTTTGTGATTTTTCACAGCCAACAATGGTTCTCAGATTTTTTATTGTGTCGCCGCGAAAGGTTTCGAAAAAGTGCCTCTCGGCAATGAAAAACTAAATGGAAACTGTTGATTGCCGGCTATATATGATATATGCACAGAGTGGACAACAGGGAGACAGATCAGGAATATATATTCGAATAAATGGATCGGTTCAAGAAGATTAAGAAATCTTTGTAAAAGTAAATATAACTACTCGGTAAATATTATAACATAAGGTTATATAAATATTAATAATTAACTTATTGATTAAACATAAACTTAACTATTATAAATAAATTCATATTACCTCTGGCTTTAATTTGCTTATATTAATTATATACCTTAAAGGGATTTTATAAATATATTTTATACATTTTAAAGATATTATTTATTTAATTTATATTTTATATATATTTTAATTGCATTTTTATTAACTTGAAAACTCAGCAAATTTTTGAGAAAGAATATTTTTAAAGCACCGAAGCTTGTAGTTGGCGCCGTCTATATTTTCAATTGTTCCCATACTCAATTTTTATTTAAATTTTCCCAGCGAATGCTTAAATTTTCACTTTCAAGAAGAAGAACTCAAAGTTGTAATAACTATCGGCTACACACATGACAAATGGATCTCTTTTGGAATAAAGCGAAAAGAAACAATAACTCAACAAAGAAACATGGGAACCATCGATATATTGCCATCGTCGATATCTTGATGTAACCTAAAATTTTCTTTATTTTATTGTGAGAAGTCAACGAGTGAACATATAATTTAGGGAACCAAAAAAAAAAAGGAAATAAGACAAAACCTATTTTACTGGTAAGTGTTTATGCATTCTTCAGCATATTAAGATTATGAGTTACACTTACATTGCAACATCAGCAGTGCAGCTTTTTACGTTTTCCTTTTTGTGAGGTTATATATCATATATATAATAAAAATGGATCAGGGATATAGGCCTGGAAGGGGCCGACATATATTTTAGTGAACCAACAAGAAAAAGATAAACCTAATTAACTGATAAGTCTTTCTGCATTCTTTAGCAAATTGAGGTTATGAGTTAGACCTGCTTTCCACGCTTTTCTTTTTTGATGTTATATATAATATATAATAAAAATGGATCAGGGATATACAGCCTTTCAATAGGAATCAGTCCCAGCAGCGTCGGTGGGCATTTTGATTTTTGATTTCTAACTTTTTTGCATACATCAACGAGATGCACACAAGCCACATCACAAATACATGTATACATTCCATTTGAATATTTCGTACATGTGTAAGTATTTTTTGTTGCCCTAAAATATAATTTTATTAGCTTAACACACACCCCTCCCTTACTCTTGACTCGTTTTGTAAACTGCTTTTTTACATTTGTTCTTTTAATTGTTTACTCAGCGTAACGTTGAGCTACCGCCAGACCGCGGCCCAGAATATTTTTATATTCTTCTTCGAGATCGAGCTCCAGTTCAGGCCCCATCCGGGCTTTAGCTCGGTCTCCAGCTCGGGCTCTGATTCGGACAGAAATCCATCTACACGGTCACATACACCTTTGGAAATCCCGGATAATAGGTCCTTGATTCGCGTGAAAGACCCTTAACGATCCGTCTTGGGCTACATACCATCAACTTACCCAAGATGGGTTCATCTTGGTCGAAGGAGATACGGAAGCCCGAATCGTCGAATCGTGATCAACGATCCAGCTTGCGCTATAGACCATCAAGACAGTCACATTCCGAGTCCTCGCCTCGTATGAGGGGCCGTTATCGAGTCAGATTGGGCTACATATCATCACCACAGCCACAGCCACAGTTACAGGCCGAGCCCTTGAATCCTGGGAATGGCAGTTATCGAGTGAGCTGGGGCTACATATCATCACCACAGCCACTGGCACCGCCATTGGCTCAGCCACAGCTACAGCTACAGACCGAGTCCTCGATTAATTTGGGAAACAATCAACCTTCCACATCGGGATACATATCATCACCACAGCCACTGGCACAGCCACAGACCGAGTCCTCGATTAATTTGGGAAACAATCAACCTTCCACATCGGGCTGCAAACCATCTCCACAGCCATTACCTAATGGCTTTGATTCAGCCGTATCGTCTAAGAACAAGTCCTCGATTCTTGATCAACAGTCCCCCTTGGGCTCTATAACATCATCCGAGTCAAGTAGGGATATTAATCATTTGAAGGATTCACCAGAGAAGGAGTCCTCGATTCTCGTGAAAGACGATCAACAGTCCAGCTCAGGCTGCAAACCATCTCCACAGCCACAGCCTTATGCCAGTTATTCAAAGGAATCACCGGAGACTAAAACCTGGATCCTCGTGAAAGCCGATCAACCGTCCACCTTGGGCTACATACCACCTCCCGAGCCAAGTATGTATTTAAATCTTCCGGATGAATCTCTGGAGCCCAAGTCCGCTATTCGTTTGGGAGGCAATCAACAGTCCACCTTCTTTCCCCCGGCGGACTTCACCGTGTGCGCCAACTCAACCTTCATTATGGGTTCCACACTGATCGCCCAGCTGCGTAGGGTTTTGGATTGTCCGGTGGAACCTGCGAAGACCGAGTTCTCGATTCGTTTGGAGGGTAACCAACAGCCCACATCGGGTCACATACCATCTCCAGTGACAAAGCGTTCGAAGGAATCTCTGGAGACCGAGTTACCGGTTCGTTTGGGAGACAATCAACCATCCACATCGGGCAACAAACCTTCGAAGTCGCATATGCCTTTGAATAGTTCGAGGGAATCATCCGTAACTGAGTCCACGAGTAGTGTGGAAGACGCTCAACAGTCCACCTTGGGCTCCATCTCACGCTCCATTTCGAGCTCCAGCTTGGGCTCCCTACAGTCTCCTCAGCAGAGTTTCAGGCAGCCTCGAAAGCGAAGTTCCATACAGACTCCAGAGCTGAATGTTGAATTAGAACGGTGTGAGAAAAAATATGTTATTCCAACTATTTTTATTTATATTCCAATTTAATTTCTTCAAACAGGTCGTTGGCTAGGTCAAGGGCTTTGAAACAAATTGGGATGTTAGTGAATGAAATCACATTACAGGCAGAGAAACGGAAAAGGGAGACCGAAGCGGCCACTGCTGCGTAAGTGTCTGCACATTTGCTTTTAAAACAACTGGTTTTTTCTTAACGATTTGGTGCACATTTCAGAGACAATGAGGCAAATCTCCTCCAGATGCAGCAGGTGGAACCTCCTCAGCAGCCTGCAAAGAGGAAGCATTCAAATACTGAACAGGATGTGTCTCTGCAGCAGCAACATCAGCTTCTCCTGCAGCAACATCGAACTCTGCAGCAGGAACATCAGCAGCTTCAGGACATGCACAAGCAACATCAGCTTCTCCTGCAGCAACATCGAACTCTGCAGCAGGAATATCAGCAGCTTCAGGACCTGCACAAGCAACATCAGCTTCTCCTGCAGCAACATCGATCTCTGCAGCAGGAATATCAGCAGCTTCAGGACCTGCACAAGCAACATCAGCTTCTGCTGCAGCAACATCAAACAATGCAGCAGGAATATCAGCAGCTTCAGGACCTGCACAAGCAACATCAGCTTCTGCTGCAGCAACATCAAACAATGCAGGAGGAACATCAAACAATGCAGGAGGAACATCTGCTTCTGCAGGAGCATCATCAAATTTTGGAGCAAGAAAATCACTCGCTTCAACAGCAGCTAAGTTGCAAAGCTGCAAAGAGGAAGCAGATGGAAGCACCTTCTGAAGAGCCTCCATCTAAGAAGCAGAAGAAGAAGAAGAAGAAGAAGGAGCTTCAGGTACAGGAGTTACCGGAACAGGAGCTACAGGAACAGAAGATGCAAGAACAGGAAATGCAGGAAGAGGAGATGCAGGAACAGGAAATGCAGGAACAGGAAATGCAGGAACAGGAGATGGAGGAACAGGAGATGCAGGAAGAGGAGATGCAGGAACAGGAGATGCAGGAAGAGGAGCTGCATGAAGAGGAGCTGCAGGAACAGGAGATGCAAGAAGAGGAGATGCAGGAACAGGAGATGCAGGAAGAGGAGCTGCAGGAACAGGAGATGCAGGAACAGGAGCTCCAGGAACTGGAGCTACTGGAACAGGTACAGGAGCTCGAGGAACAGAAGATTCAGGAACAGGAGATTGAAGAACAGAAGATTCAGAAACAGGGGATCAGGAACAGGAGGTTCAGGAACTGGAGACTCAGGGACAGGAGATTCAAGAACAAGAGTTTCAGAGACAGGAGATTCAAGAAAAGGAGATTCAAGAACAGGGGGTTCAGGAACAGGAGATTGAGAAACAGGAGATTCAGGAACAGGGGGGTCAGGAACAAGAGGTTCAGGAACTGGAGATTCAAGAACAGGGGGTTCAGGAACAGGAAGTTCAGGAACAGGAGATTCAGAAACAGGAGATTCAGGAACAGGAGCTACAAAAACTGGAGCTCCAGGAACTGAAGCTTCAGGAACAGGAGCTACCGGAACAGGAGCTACCGAAACTAGAGCTTCAGGAACAGGAGCTACCGGAACAGAAGCTTCAGGAACAGGAGCTTCAGGTAGATGAGCCCCAGGAACAGAAGCTGAAGGTTTCGATTAAGCAGGAGCAGCCATCTGAGGATCTTGAGAATATACCTCAGCAGAATGTGCAGCAAAATATTCCGTCTTGGTATATACCACTCACTGAACAGCAAACTAATTCGATCAATTTATTATTGCATGGGGACCCGGAACAGGTGAGTTATATGGGGGACATCTTTATGGGGCTTAGGAGGCACAGAACTCCTTGAATGCTTCTAGTGCCTCTTTTCCTGACTCGTTATCCCTCTGCTCTTTTATTTTCAGATGATCGCATCGAGGTTCAACTTAAAGATTTTACGCCGCGATTTCGTGACTTTATTTCCTGGCTCTTGGATGAATGACACAATAATCAATTTCTACTTTAATTTTTTTATTGAAAGATCTGAGAAACGTGTCGGAGAGCTGCCCAGCGTGTATGTCTTTAGTACATTTTTCATGAAACGCCTCCAGCTCAGTGGCTATAGCGGAGTGAAGCGATGGACACGTAAAGTGGATATATTTAGCAAGGACATTCTGCTTATTCCATTTCTTTACGAGGAGCAGACATGGTGCCTAATTCTCGTTGACATGCAACAAAAGATCATTCGCTATTTTGATTCGCTGGGAAGAACCGATCCGAACCCAGTGATGGGTGCATTGCAAATGTATCTAATGGCCGAGTCTCAGGATAAGCTCAAGAAGGACTTTGATATAAGTACCATGGATATTGGAATGCAGATTGAGTTGCCAAGGCAGACAAATGAATATGATTCTGGCGTCTTCTGTTGCACATTCGCTGAGTTTATAACACGCAAGGCAAAGATCGATTTTAATCAGAATTACATGATTTACTTTCGTAACAAGATGGCCATCGAGATCGTCAAGGGGGAACTATTCCTGTAAAATGATACATTTACAATAATCACCATAACACTGATTACATACACATTTATTAACTTTATATTGGTAAACTTAACACTAAAACGTTAACACTGATAACCTTAACACTGATACACCTATACACATCACCTTAACACAGATCATCTTTACATAGATTCTTTATACTAATAACCTTAACACGATAACCTTAATTAACACAGATTACCTTTACATGGAACACCTTTACATTGACAACCTTTTCGCTGTTTACCTTTACACAGATTGATTTCACTCAAGAACCACATTGAACAATTTGAAAATGATGCTCCAGCAGAAATAGATCCAGGATAGCTGTCGCTCAAGCCCGACTTTAATACATACATGGACTTGCACAGGAGATCTTCGTATACCGTCCACTACAACAATTACAAATTATAAACATTAAAACATAAAAAAACTATCAAATTATCATAGATTTATCATTTCTTTGAGATAAATTGCTAGCATTCTTTTCTCTTTAAGCTCTCTAAGCTGTGTTTTTCCTGTTAAATCAAGCAAAAAGTCCACTATCTTTTACAAATCTTTGACTTAGCTAAGGAATTAATCCAGATTCGGATTGGTTTACAAAATTTAAGTATGTTCAAAAAACAAAATAAGAACTAATTAGGTCGTTGAGATCCTCGCCTGTCCAGAGCTCTGCAAAGATCATCATTTTAGTGAATATTCATTAAAAAACTGACAAACTTTTGGAAAGAAGGATGCACGTCATCATCGTCGGTCATCTCACGGGCCAGAATTTGTGAATAGCCACGAAGTTCCTCTTCGGTTTTCTCTGGAGCCCTGATGTTCTGCTTGCGCTTTCTCTGATTCTTATTAAGGAGTACTTGCAGGGGTAAGTATCATTCCTAGGAGTAAGGAGTACTTCCAGGACTTCCTCAGAGTCGAAGCTGAAAAGGATCAAGGATCAGTTCCTTTCTGGTCTCCAAAATTTCTTGGTTATAAATTGGCAAAAAGCACTATGTTACTCTTTACATTACCTCTAGGTTTTATTACTCCGCCGAAAGAGAGAGAGAGGTGTATGTAGGATTGGTAGGGATAATACCCTAAGTAAACAATCCTGTGACCCCATGTGGGTCACGTCATCGAAAGGTCAAAGGCATTTATCAAAAACCCCGCCTGCCTCTTCCATTTGCATTTCCACTGCCACATTGCTGGACTGCCGGACGGACTCCTGGCCTGTTTGCTTTGGCCAAAACTAATTTTGACAGGGGAATAAAGGAGTGAAAAAGCCAAAAGCAGGCAGGCAGCCACCGCCGCCACTGCTTTTATTGGAAAAATGTTGTATTTGTATTTGCTTTTGGAGAGTGGGCGTTAGTGGAAAATCGCAGCGGGTCACGCCCACAATGCCAAATAGTTTTCATTCTTAGCCGTTGGCTGCATTTTATTTTATTAATGGGAATTTGTTTTCCAAAAGAAGGGGCGGGGGTGGAGGCGGTGGAGAAGGATGCGTCCAGGATGCCGCCTCGTCGCCTATTATGGCAGCCCATTTGTTTGCACGCGAGCATCCGAGTGCCGCGGATCCTGCGGGGGCAAGGATGTGTCCACAGGGCGTATGCGCTATATTATTTTTCTAGCGCTCTTGGCGGTCTCCCTACAATTCCTTCATTCCTGCTCCTGGTCCTGGTCCTGCTCCTGCTGCTCCATGTCCAGCAACGACCACATGTCGCTCATGATTAATTGAAAGATTCTCTCAACTTCAACTGTTTTCGGGTTTTGCGTTTGTGCTTTCCTCCCTTTACTTTCCTTTTATTATTTCCATATATATATATATGTATATATCCTTTTTTGCATTTTTTATTTATCCTAGAAGCTTGTTGCTGTTGTGTTTGCTTTGTCCCAAGTGTTTTGATTAATGAACGGAGCCCTGGTGGGGGGAGCGAGATTTAAATAAATTTCTTGGAATATCAAATGCTTTTTACCATCGTGTTGAGCGTCGTAAACAATTAGTTTGTGTGGCTTAAATAAGCTTTTTTCGTTCAATTTTTATGAATTTATCTTTTTAATAAAAAAAATGTTGCAACTAAATAAAGTTTATTTTCAAATACAGTCAGCTGTCCTGGTTGCAGTGTTTGCAAACTTACAGGAAACAGTGTTGTTTATTAGGACTTTTAAGGCTGTTTACATTGTTTATAAAAAGTAAAATAAAACAAAAAAAAAATATATATATATATATATGTAATATATTTATTTTCATTGTTTTTAAAAACATTGGACTCAATTTTCCCCTTTAAAAGCTCTTTTAACTTCAGAAATTATTTAAGAAGTAACATAATTCGTATGATTTTTGAAACAGTGGAAAATGGAACGGAACCTCAATAAGCATATTCTCACCAATGCATATGTATATAGTCCCATGTAGAGTGAATCTTCCGAAGTTGGAATCTCTTTCCTAGACTCTTTGTCTTCCTTCCCCCTTACTTTCTAAGTATTTCTCCACCTATCTCTACTTCTCACCACTTCTCATTAATTCTCCCCACTTCTCTTCCTCTCTCTCTTATTAGGCTAATGGAGCTGATGTTCCGGAACCCGACGACTATCAGTTTTTGGCCGTCAGCTTGTCTTATCAGAAGCAGAAGAGGCCTGCTGCCAGCGTCTTCGATAAGGGCTTCCGTATGGCGCACTTCACAACGACAATTCTTTGGGAATCAGTGGTAGAATGGACGGGGAATACGTAGCAGTGGAGCAACCGGCGGCAGCTTATCCGGGCTATGGTTCCAGCGGCACCGTCACCGTTGCCGTCGGCAGACATCAGCGTTCCAATGGACAGCGCCTGCCCGCTGGGCACTTGGTACTCTTGGCCTTGTTACTGGGCACCCTGGTGATCGTCCTCTATGCCTATTGGGATGTGATGATGCTAACGGCAGGTGCCTCACCAATGGAAAGACACCACGATGCCAGTGCCAATGAAACTCTGGCGGAGAAGCTGCATCGAGAAGTGCGAATCCTGTGCTGGGTGCTAACCACACCCAAGTACCACAAAACCAGGGCAGCCCATGTCCTGCGAACCTGGGGTAGGCGTTGCAATAAGATATTATTCATGACCTCGGAGGCGGATGATGAGCTGCCCACCATGGTGCTAACCAAGCCGGATCGATATGAGGTGCTGTGGGGCAAGACCAAGGAGGCCTTCACTCGGCTCTATGAAGAGATGCGTGACGAGGCTGATTGGTTTATGAAGGCCGATGACGACACGTAGGTACTTCTCGGTAGTTACTACCAAAAAATCGGTCTATATTTAATCGTTGTACATTGATGTATTGCCACATTTTCATTTATCGGAAAGATAATGAATGGAATCCCTTTCAGCTCATAGCTTCTCTTGGAATTTAAGATTATAATGACCATATAATCTATAGTGTTTCATATATAAGATACATTTAAATGAGAAACTACATATGTGTATAATGAGTCTTGCCACCTCCACATATCACAACTATTTTCTTATCATTTTTCTGCTACATGTACCAAACATAAATAGTAACTTTACTTGAAACTAATTAAAGTTCAATGAGGTTATCTTACTTGTTAATTATATATAATACAATTTATAATTAAGGGCTCTAGAATATTTTATTATACTAATTACACACTCTTGTTTTTATTAGCTTTGTTTTTTTGGAAAATCTACGATATATGCTGTATCCCTACTCACCCAATACATCCATTTATTTTGGATTTAATTACAAGATGATTGGCACGCATCCAAAGAACTCGGTAAGTTGAAGCATAGATAATACAATTAATAGATATAACTTCAGAGGACTTTTTTTACTCGAATTTAGGCTCTCTTTAATTTATTTCATTAATTTAAACTTTTCTCAAAGAAGCCAAAGAGAGATCACTTGGCTCCATATAGAATATAATAATAATAATTATATAAAATATAATAAACTAATACTAACTCCCATCTTATTTATAAATAATATAACTAGAAAACAATAACTATAGTAATACTTCTTCTTTGACAGTCCTACATGTCTGGAGGAAGTGGCTATGTCCTGAGTCGCGAGGCTTTGAGAACCTTTGCCGAGGGTCTGAATGATACCACCAAGTGCCGCCAGGAGGATGACCATGCCGAGGACGTGGAGATGGGGAAATGTCTGTTCAATCTGGACGTAAAGGCTGGTGACTCACGGGATGATCAGCTGAGGAATCGCTTCTATCCCACTGCACCCTTTGGTGCCCTGCTCTCGGGCAATGTGGGCATGGATTTTTGGCTCTACAAATACGCTTACTATAATGCCCGAACGGTGAGTGAGTCCTTTTGATCATAAAGCTACCTAATCAAGCAAATTCCCATACATTTTTTTGTGCAGTGCATGGACTGCCTGTCGGAGTACCCGGTGGCCTTCCACTACGTGAATAGTCAGCAGATGTACGTGTACGAGTACTTCAACTATCAGTTCCAGTTATCTGGCAGGCAGCAGGTGGCGGAACGGCTGCCTGAGAAGATTCGGGAGCAGGATCTGGTCATTCCCGAGAGTGACAATTCAGTGTCCTAGAAGGGGAGCTTTCTTCTCCTGCCCCCCACGAAACACAACAATCTCTACTTTACTATATATAAATGTATTTTTTTTTTTGTGTATACTTATTGTATATTTAATATATTATGGTTATAAGGCGAACGTGCCAGGACCACAGTGTTGTGAAATTAGCTCTTCTTTCATGTTATTTTCAGCTTTTTTATATCCTTGCAGCATATCATTTTAGTGAGAACCCTGTAAAAACGTGAAGGAGTAATTTCTGACCCTATACATCATATATATTCTTAATCAGCATAATAAGCCAAGTCTTTCTAAGCATCTAAAGCTGAAAAAAAATTTTATAAATTTTTTTCTTATTTTATAAGGGGTAACATCATTAAAATTGTCAAAAAATCAACAAAAATTGTAAATGTATTACCACTGTATATTGAGTATGCAGATTTATTAACCTTAAAAAAATTACCACAAAACAGTTTTCCGAATAAAATTTAAAGCGTTTTTGGCTAAGTTATGAGTTTTTTAAATCTTGATTTTTGGAAGAAAAAAAATGTTATTAAAAGTGTCAATAAATATCGATTTAAGGAATGAAAATATTTTAAGCTTGTGATAATTTTCCTATTTGTATTTATTTGTTTTAAGATTTTATAAAACTATTCATCACACGCTTTTTTTCTGCTAAAACCCCCTTTCTTTGCTTCACAAAAATTGTCAGCACTGGAGGACTACCATATGGTGTCCTATTGGGAGTCCTTCTTGTCCACGTCCACGTCCCTGTCATGTATTTATTATTGAGCAGCTGTGCCACAGACACAATGGGTTGTATACCTCCCATAAGACCCAAAGGAGTGGCACGGCACCCTTAACTCATTTTAGGGGAAATGCAAACTAACTTGTAAAAATACTGCTTGCGGAATTTATCTATCTGCTTGTAAAGGACTCAAGGTAGACAGTAGAAAAGGTATCGTATCGAATACGAGCTAACTAACCTAACCCAAACTACGAACTAAGAAACATTATAAATGTAAATCAAGTTGATCGTCGTTACAGGAGAGAGCCCGCCAAACATTTGAATTTGTTCGTTAAAGTGGCATCGTTGGCATTTCCAAATATCGGTCACCGGGAGAGAGTGCCGCCCTCTGGATCTCACCATGTTCCGCTTCCTGGTGATTTTACGGTCCACCAGTACTCCCCCACCACTTCCCGCACCCACACAGCACGCCAGATCTCCCCACGGAGAGACAGGGAGAGCTTGGGTTACCATGGTAACGCTTTCGCTAACGGAGTCTGCCCTCAGTTACTGTGTTGGATTTCTTGAAGAAGTTATAAGTTATATCTATATTTATATTTTCTTCATAACTGTCGCAGAAAAAGTTGAGTGTGCAAGGAAATGCAGGTGTGCGGATTAAATTATAACTTTGCCGGCTGAAAACTGATCGTAAATTGAATTTAAGTGAAACAATAAGTGTAACAACAAGTAAAACAATAGCAGCTAGTGAAATTAGCTCTTATTTGCAATTTCAGTGGCTCTGTGTGGGCGCTTGCCACTTACCGTTACTATTACGGCAGTTTCACCAAGAACAAGAATAACTACAAATAAAAAAAAATGTGTAAATCGCTTTTTTAGCCCTACAATGGTTTCTTAAAAAGTAATACCTAATAATGGCGTGCAAAGGTTTTTGTGGTTGTTATTGCACCCAAAGCCGTGCTTCGTTTTTAAGCCAAATGACAAGCTAGCATCTGCGAGTGAAAAAACACAATTGCTGTAAATCAAAGCAAAGTAACTGTGCATTTTGGCAGCCATCTTTTCGCAGCCAACTAAAGTGCAAATAATAATCAAACGAACTAAGCAAGTAGCACACATCTTAGTGGTAGATTAGCACGAGTGATAAATTAATACAAAAATACACAGCCCAAGTCCGCCATTAAAATTTTGCAGCAGTAGAAAAAACGAAGAGAGAAAGTGAGAGCAGGAGTGAGAGAGCGCGCCCTTTAGCTTGCATTATCGTTGTGGGCGAAGCGCTGAGCGAACGAAAGAGGGTAAATGCAAAGACAAAAAAGTGCGGTAAACGGCAAAACAGCGGAAAGAAATGTTCGTCGGCCATGAGTATAAACGGATTCGGATCGGAGTTGTATTGAAGTGCGAATCGTAATTAAAAGTCGGAAACTCTACGCGCGGGCTTGCTGCTTAAAGAGTTCCAGCAAAAAAAAAAAAAAAAAACAAAACTGGTGAGTGAAGAACATCCATATTTTCTTTCTTTTTTCTTGTCCCCATTTTTAAACTTTGATTTGTAAAAAAAAGTCATTAAAAATGTCAATAAATATAGATTTGAAGAACGCAACTATTTGAAGCTTATGATAAAGTTCCGATTCGTTCCTATTTATTTTTAGCTTTTATAAAACTATTCATCGCACACTTTTCCCGCTATAGGCGCTTTTGTTTCCTTCACAAAAATTAAATTAATACAAAGTGCTAAAATGTAATAAATATTGCAAATAAAATACACACAGCCCAAGTCCGCCATTAAAATGTTGCAGCAGTAGAAAAAACGAAGAGGAGAGAGTGAGAGCGGGAGCGAGAGAGCGCGCCCTTTAGCTTGCATTATCGATGTGGGCGAAGCGCTGAGCGAACGAAAAAGGGTAAATGCAAAGACAAAAAAATGCGGTAAACGGGAAAACAGCCGAAAAAAGTGTTCGTCGGCCGTGAGTAAAAACGGATTCGGATCGGAGTTGGATCGAAGTGCGAATCGCAATTAAAAGTCGGAAAATATTCGCTGCTTAAGGAGTTCCAGCAAAAGAACAAACCGGGTGAGTGAAGATCATCCATATTTTCTTTCTTTTTTCTTGTCCTCCATTTTCGTTATGCTAAAATTTGAATTTTACTACCTGAAATTAGCAATGAAAAATACTAGGAACAGGTTAAAACATTGCTATGATGTAGTCATAAAATTAGAACAAAAATAAAAAAAATAATTAAATAAACAATAAAGAAAAGCTACCTCAGGGTACCTTATAAAAAGTATAAAAGTATGTTTCTGCTTAATTTCCTGTTTGTTTTTATGGCCGATATATACATAATATAGTCATCCGATCTTGTCCTTTTAGACTAATATACTATTCAGAATATAAATTAGATTTTTAGCTTCAAAACTGGGGAAATCGATGCTAAGCAGGAATATATGTATATGTATACTTTATACGATCAGAAATGACTCCACTACTTTTTAAACTTCTAAACTAAAAATATAATTATATTATTATTATTTGTTATTATTTATTTATTACTTTATTATTCCTTTATTATTTATTAGTTACTCGATTTTATTATATTTTTAACTATTTAATTTAGCCCAATTAGAAAAACAAGATGCAAGCTAGCAATTCAAATTGAATCGCGCCCAATTCAAAATTGGCAGCCTCTTATAAGTGGCCACCTGTCATTTGACGATATTGCCGTATCCGCTCTCTTCCCAACAAGAAATTCACCAAAATATCGCCGCCGGCTTAGCATTCTCTCCCGATGGCAATTGGAAATCAGTTCTTATACACCGCTCGGACGCAACGGAAGGAAAAAACAGACTCGGAAAAAAACCGAAAACGAACATGGCGCCACGCAAGGAGATCGCGAAAAAATGTTTAACGCGGAAAACCTACGGCGGAAAAGCAGCGGCAGTCGCGGAAAGTGTGGGAAACCATCGAGAACCGGCAGTGAAAACTATTAGAGTGAATCAAGTGAGGGGGAAAGACTTGGAGCACCCCCGGAGCACTCCCAAAACTTAGGCCGGGCCGCTGTCGCGTTTTTTTCGGTAATTTGTAAACCATACTTAGCCAAGATCAGTGCGCGTTACTCTGGCTACTCAATTTTGTTGTTTTTTTGTGTGTCACATGACTTAAATCGCCGTTGCAGTCAAGCTGAAGCAACAACGAATGTACAGGGGTGAGTGAGACAACTTTATTTTCATTTTTCGGTTATCCTCGATTTTCTTTATTTCGCGCGCGAATTTTCGCTCGCGCCGTTGGCATCAGTGTTGGCAGGCTAGGACCACCCGCATTAGCTAGTTCTGTGCAACAGTTAGCTAAAAAAGGCTAAATATAGGCAATAAGTGCTAAAAAAAGCTATAATCGAGAACACAAGTAGTATAATAATTATCTATATTTATTTTATATTATATATAATAATATATGTCAGATGAATATTAATATAAAATAGATAGCTATAAGTTAGCTGGAAATTTCAACAGCTTTTCCATATTCAAGTGTGTCAGATGTGGCTAAGCCGGCAACACTAGTTGGGATATGCAGGGGCACCAATGTAAAAAAGTGAACGAGACAACTGTATTCTCATTTTTCTGTTATCCTCGATTTTCTTTAAATTCGCGCGCGAAATTTCGCTCGCGCCGTTGGGATCAGTGTTGGCTGGTTAGGACCACCCGCATAAGCTAGATTCTGCTCAAAAATTAGCTAAACGGCTAAATAGATAAAATAAGTGCTGAAAACTTTAAATTATTGAGAACATACGTAGTATATTATAATATTATATTATAGTTATATAAAATAATATAATATTATTATATTATATATATAAAAATTATTATATTATATATAATAATAATATAAATATTATAATGTATTATATTTTTTATTTAATATATAATAAAATGTGCTAGATAGCTGGAAATTTCATTAGCTTTTCCATTTTCAAGTGTGCCAGATATAGCTAAGCCGGCAACACTGGTAGGGATCTGCAGCGTTAGTGATGTTATCCTCGGTTTTCTTTGCCTTCGCGCGCGAACCTCCCCTCCCCTTGTCGTATTGAATATTTGAATTCGCCGACCAATTCGCCGTGGAGATCTGCGGCAAATCCAATGTAAATGATTGAGTGAAACGAAACTATTTCTCTGACTTTGCGCGGCCATATTTCTTCTTGTCCTTGCCGTTATACTGTGTTTGCTCTCGCCCTGAAAAGTGGAACTTAAGAGCGAGAGGGGCAGATTACGATCCACTGTTGTTCAGTGTTGGTTCTTAACTTTGATATTTGACAAAGCTGCTGCCTTTGTTTACCTTTTCTTTCCTAGGAAATTTTGTTGATTATTTAATACATTTTTTATGAAACTATTTTACTTTCAGCCTTATTTTTTTATATAGTATTTATTATTTTTATATATATTGAAATTTATAATTGAACTATCTTAAATGATTTTAAAATAATAATTAAAATAATTATTATTTCTTATCACATATTTAATACAATTATTATATATCTTCCTTTATTATCTATTTTTCCTTTACTTAATTTAGGACATTTAAAATATGATATTTATGTTATTATTCTTATCCACAAACAGCCCATAACATTTCCCTTGTCCATTTCCTCTAGCACATCGCATATAAAAGCTGCTTTGCTTTACTGCAGTAGCTTAGGATATTATTACCAGCCGGAAATTTCAACAGCTTTTCCATATTCAAGTATGTCAGATGTAGCTAAGCAGACAACACTAGTTGGGGTCTGTTATCCTCTTTTTTTTTGCCCTCGCGCGCCAAATTTTCGCTCTCCTTCTTTTCTCCATGAATTTTTGAATTCACCGACCAATTCGCAGTGGAGATCTGCGGCAAATCCAATGTAAATGATTGAGTGAAACGAAACTATTTCTCTGACTTTGCGCGGCCATATTTCTTCTCGTGCTTTCCGTTATACTGTGTTTGCTCTCGCCCTGAAAAGTGGAACTTAAGAGCGAGAGAGGCAGATTACGATCCACTGTTGTTCAGTGTTGGTTCTTAACTTTGATATTTGACAAAGCTGCTGCCTTTGTTTACCTTTTCTTCCCTAGGAAATTTTGTTGATTATTTAATACATTTTTTATGAAACTATTTTACTTTCAGCCTTATCTTTTTATATAGTATTTATTATTTTTATATATATTGAAATTTATAATTGAACTATCTTAAATGATTTTAAAATAATAATTAAAATAATTATTATTTCTTATCACATATTTAATACAATTATTATATATCTTCCTTTATTATCTATTTTTCCTTTACTTAATTTAGGACATTTAAAATATGATATTTATGTTATTATTCTTATCCACAAACAGCCCATAACATTTCCCTTGTCCATTTCCTCTAGCACATCGCATATAAAAGCTACTTTGCTTTACTGCAGTAGCTTAGGATATTATTACCAGCCATCAAAGGTCTTTAGAGCTCATCAAAACACTCATTATCGATAACAAGTACTCAAACAGATCGATTACAACCCACTCACTCAGTAAGAAAAATATATGGTCAGCTGCAGAAAAGTATTCGGTTACTCGATATATATTATTTGTCTGTGTGTGTTCTAGTCGAGTTTTTCCAAAAAGCTTATTACGGATATTGATTACGTTAATATACTAGTAAGTTCTTAGCATGCTTACGCTCAACGAGAGTGCCTTTTGCTGTGCATTATCCTGGCATCCAGATATCCCATTACATATTGCACTTAATTGTTGTGAGCTCCATGCTTACATTTATTTGGCCCAAAACAATAGGGAAAGTATAGTAAACTAGTATTAATACTAACAGCGGAATTTAATTTCGAGATCGTCCTTAATGCATCATCTTTCGGCTGATCCTTGGAGACATTTGTCAGCTGGTTGCCTTGGCTTTTAATTAAATATTTTGCCAGGATTTCGCGGCACTAGAATGTACTAGATGCAGAGGTGGCTTACAGATGTCAGAGTGAGACTGTGACAGGACATAGACATAGTTGTCTTTTTCTGCGTATATCCTTGAGGAGGGCGGAACAAAAGTTGTCACTCGGGTGTCAAGCCAAGGAAGATAAATAAATAAGCTGTGTGTGGGGGCCAGGGCCAAGTTAAGCAAGTTGTGTTGTTATCCTGCTCCAGCTCCTTCAGTTTATACTTATATTTATGTTTTCGTTGATGCTGTGTTTGCTATTGTCCTGCCATCCTGATGCCGTTGTTGCTGTTGTCACGCGAGCCGGTCGCGCATTTTCAATAATAATCTCTTGTCCTGGGCATAAATGTCGCATTAAAATGTCACGCACTCGTGGCTTAATCACGCCAAAGGATAACGGCATGCCCACAGTCGCCTCAAGGACATTTAGAGAAATGAAGGGATAATGGGGACTAAGGTTTAAAATAGGAAAATTCTACTAAATCTAAATTTTTCACCAGAAATCAAAGATTCTAAACATGATTTTATATATATTTTATATATTTTTTTGTATCTATATTTTATATACTTTAACTTGGCATATTCTTGCACTTTTATTCATTACTTAATATTCAAAATATATATATTAAATAATTAAGTATCAGCCCTTAAATTTCCCTTGTAAAATAAGCCAACTTTTGGGATATTTTTCAAGTGCATTACCGCGTTACAGGACATGCAGGACACGATGGGACAGGCAAGGATTCAGCTCTGACAACAGCACTTGAATAGTCATACCCGCCTGCCGTTGTTATATCTGCGATTTGGACCAAGGGCTAAGGACTAAGGACTCTGGGTATCCGCAGGATACCGGGAATAGGGCGGTCCTGGTTCATAGGCATTACTTGTTTGCGGTTTTTATTATATCATGCTCATGTCAAACGGGCTCAGCATTGTCACATCCTTAGCCGCTTCTCCTAGTCCTGGTCTTCTTGCCCCCTGACGATGACGATGATGATGACGATGATGCTCTGCCAGCTCAGCGTCCTGTCATGCCGGCTCTTAGTCCAGTCAGCCAGTCTCCTAGTTCCCCCCAATACCCAATCCCCAATCCCCATCTAAGTCCTGCGGCTCGCTCTTGTCCTTCATCTTCAAGCTGCCAGTTATTACACATTGCCAGCGTCTTAATGTCGGGATTGCCTGACGAAGGCTCTGGAGTGTTTCGCCCTAATTCGCCAACAGGTGGGTCCTTGGCAAGGGGCTAACGCTGCTACTGTTGCTACTGCCAAAGCAAAAAGGCCCACCCAAAACGAAATGAAATGTCCCTACTGTAGTGCAGCGGCAGCAATCGCTATACCCTAAAAAATGGTTAGGTTTGGAAGCTAACTCATTAGGCTTAATAGACTCTCTTGTCTTTTAAATATTGTATATTTAAAAATATGTTCCAATAGATGTCTACTGAAAAAACTAATCTACTTTCTCTGTGAAACTATTTATAAAAGTTAGAGACTCCATTTTAAAATATGCTTTAAAATTATCCTACTTCAGGAATAGTCTTCTCTCCCTGTAAAACTATTTATAAAACTCAAAGAATATTTCTTCAGAAGCTGCTCAGACCTCTCAAAGGATAGTATAAGCAGCTAGATGCATAACGTTCATACATTTTACCAGAAAACGGTTGACTTCAGAGCATTTTCTACCTCTCAATCCCTCACTATTTCTGGTTCTTTAATAAAATTACAAGATAAAATTTATATGGTGCTATGAATTTTACATCTTATACTATGTTTAAGCCCTTTTTCTATACTTTTCAAGAGCATTTAAGCTTCGTTTTTGAAACAAACAAATTAGACTGTGAGTTCGCCTGCAATTGGCAGCCTAGGATTCTCAGCACTGTGCAACATTTTATAAGTTAAGGCACGTTCCAGTGGTTAGGTCCACTCAAAATCCTCTCCAGCGATGCAGCACCCCCTTTATAGAGTATATGTGTGTGTGCGGTCAAAGGGCAACTGCAGTCGACGATTGCCGCAATGAAAACGCAAAGTTTATTTGCTGAGCTGGACTGAAAAACGCCGGCAACCTCAAAAACGACAGAGTCAGAAGCAAAATTGGTATAAGGATCGGCATTATCAGAGTATATATATATATATATAAAGCTTAGGTTGCCACCCTTTTTTGGGTTAAAATCAGAAATTGAATTATGAGCCAAGAAAGGACACTTTCTCGGTGCGGGCTAATTCGATTAGACAGTTAGAAATGTTGATTCAATTTGCATTGTCAATTAAATCGCTATCCTGTCCTGGTCTGGCTCTCTCTGTCCGTCGTAATTGCATTAGCAGGATATTTGCTTGTCATCAACATATTTTGCCCACAAATTTTCGGTTGACTTCAGCATTTTGCGCAACGCCCCCATTTTCCCCATAATCTCCAGTAACGCTTTCTTGATGATTGGCCAGCAAAAAGTTTCTGCGGCAGGCGCCGCATCGTGTACTGTGTCCTGTGTCCTGTGTCCTGTGTGTCCTGTATCCTTTTGCACTCGACTGGAGTCCAAGTCGAGTCGAGTTGATGAAAGGCCAAGTCAAATGGCTCACTGATTGCATTGACATCCTTTTGGGCCTGGCTAAAATGTATTTTGGGGCGGCTTCGGGAAAACTTTACGTATGATTTGCTGGCTAAATTGAAAATTTGCCCAAGCATCCTGTGGGCAGGACTTGGCTTCATTATAACACACATCCCCCCGCCTTCGATGGCATTCGGTTTGCATTTCAATTATGCGCAAATTGCAGCTCTTTGAAAGTTTGAATTATTATGTAAAGTCCATCTTCTTACTTAGGCTGCTTCCTGTGCCAAAGTTTATCAAGTTTAAGTTTCCATAGATAAATTAATAAACGAAGCTTAAAAAAATAATACCCTGACTACTTTTAGGCTGAATTTGTATTGAATAGTTAGCTTGTATAAATAGGAAACATTTCCGTTCTTCAGTTTCAGTTTGAAAATAGTTGTGCACCATGAAGGTTGGATTCGCTTTACCATCACTCTCTATTCTGGCCTTGGTGAGGGTTTATTTTTTTACAATTTCCATACCATTTAACCCTAGTTAACCCTATATTTAGTTAACCTTTACCTTGGCCCAAGAAGATTGCCTCAAGTTGCATAATGTCACCAGATCGCAGGTAGGCGCTGTGCCCCTCCACAAACCCGTCGAAGATGTTCCCATGAATATCAAATGCTATAGTCGCTGTATAATCCATGATTATTTTGGCAGTGATGGCAAAATCGATTTGAAACTTGTAGGAAAGAAAGCCAATGCTCAAGAGCAACGAATTTTGGGCGAGTGTAAGAAGCAGAATGATGACATCACTGATCTAGACAATTGTGATTATGCCTATGTAATGTTACGCTGCTTGTTTATTGCAAAAGAGAACGAGTCATGAGAGCTATTAATTAAATAAATACAATATATATGCAATATATTATATATGATATTTATTATAATTGCTATATATTACTGAATAAATGTAAAGAGCAAACACACAATGGCTGAAATAAATTAGTCAGTTGCTTACAGTTTTAATTCTGATTTTGCTTCATAAACTTGGGCAACACGGAATAGTGAGGTTGTTGTATTTTATTGTGATATCCAGTGATAGTTTCAATTATAATTATAATATCATTATTATTTATATTATATCAGCTTTTCATATTATATAATTATATCAATAAGTTCTGCCATAAAATCCATTTGTGGCAAACATACTTCACTTTAATTTGCCAAATTATACCCTTTTACGGTATTATAATTTTAGTCAGAAGCTTGAAAATAAGTGAAGGAATCATTTCCGACCCTATAAATCATATATATTCTTGATCAGCATCGAAATCCCAGTCGATCTAGATCATCTTTAGCAGAAAAAAAAATTTACAAATTTTTTCAAAATTTTATAAGGGGTTACATCGTTAAAATTTTCAAAAATTCAACAAAAATTTGAATTAAAAAATATTTTAAGTTGAGTATGTAGATTTATTAACCTAACAAAAACTAACATAGGACAGCTTTCCAAATTAAAATTAATGCTTTTTTGGCTGAGTTATCAGTTTTTAAACATTGATTTGTTGAACATATTTTCATATAAAAATATTAATAAATTTCCATTTAAAGAATGCAAATATACCTCTTTTTTATAGAACAGGAATTTATTGTTGTCTTCTATTACTCTCGATAAAATATACATTAAAGATTTAATTTCTTGTTAAATAACAACACCTTTATGTGTTCTGTACTGCACTTTATTTGTAATATATATTTCATAGGGTTAATTAATAGTTATAAATACATATTTTATTCATGTTTTGCAATATGCCAAACAGGGCTTCCCGAATCGCAGCGAATATCACATCTCATATACGATGTTGTACAAAAAAAAGGATAATTATAATTATTATGATGAATATTCCGTCATGTTATATGGAGGTTAACTGCAGGCAGTGCTCACTGTACCACCACGCAGTCCTTATATCCGAGTTTCCTTGTCTTCTGTTTTTTAGCTTTTGTTTTTTTTTTTAGTATTAACTTAGGCTACTGTCTTTTTGGTAAGTATTTGCTGGATGACGATGGAACGCTTCCAATGAATAAATAAAATAGTAAAAACATTAAAATTAACAAAAGACGAAAAAAAAAAACAAAAAAATATATATATATCAACTAAAATTAAATGGAAAATAATGTTTTTTGTGTGAGTGTGATGTTCCATGAAGTCTTGAGGCACTTAAAACGAGTCTGGTTTTGATATTGTTGTGATGTAATGTGGAGTGGGCGTGGCAGCAGGAGAAGAACACCTGTTTATCAGGCATCCTTTTAACACACAAGACGCTCATTGTCAGCATGGAAAATGCGGTCATAATTCTCAATCAGCACCTTTGCCAGCATATTCATGCGTCCAATATCCAAATGAATCTGATTGGCACTCAGCAAACATGGGCCCCAAACAATGGCCAAATTAGTGGACGGCATGCGGTTCGAGGCACTGGCAGCAGCCACTCTGTAACACAAAACGAAAACCCATTCATTAATAGGGGATCTTCTATCTAATATGTACATATATCTATTAGGTAAAGATCGTACCTGGTCAGGTGCTTGATAAGGAAGCGCAGTGTAGAGCGATTTGGCTCTGGCATATCATCAAAGGCCAAACTCATACGCTCAATGGCTGCATCATCAGCCAAAGTTTTGCCCAAACGCTCGTATGCCTCCTGAGTAATCAGCGGTTCGGTTAACTCCCGGAAGAACTGCTTATGCAGGCTGGTCAGTGTATGAATATCATCCGTTTGAAGCCAACGTGGATCATACAAATGGGTCAATTTGCGTCGTAACTCATCCACCAGAACCTTGTTGCCAGAGGCCCGATAAAGGCCATCTTGTTCGATACACTCCGGTTGCTCTATATAGGCACAAACATCAACCACAAAGCGTGGCACATTCGGATGATCGGTCATATTTAACTCCAGGGTATTAAGAGGGGCAGCAAACAAGGGATACTTTTGCTGTTCATCCAAATACAGGCTATTCACCTGACCACGGCGACCACGCGATTTTTTCTCGCTCTTTGGCGAGCGATTGCTAGAAAGGGGAAAACAAGGTTTAATAAATTATAAACATATATGTACATAAAGGGTGATTAAAATTACTTACATGCGAAATACATTGCTATTGACGGCAACTGCAGGGGTTTAGGATTTCCATTAACAACACAAACATGAAAAGAGAGAAATTTATAGAAATTATTAAGGACTTTAAGCAAGGTATTTAGATATAGGGAATATATATCTCGTACATTCCGATAAACGCCTATCAAAGCGGGACATGCAAACTGTATTTTTCGACATGCCCCAGAGGAGAATTAAGAGTTCGTGCCACTCCCGGCTGCCTGTCAAGTGCGTATGAAAACAAATTATTAGCAGGAATGTCAGTCAGTCAATAAGCCACTCAGTCAATCTCATTCGCATTCCACGCCTTACAAAGATCCAATGATTCACTTACTCATCCACTCATTTGCATTAACCAAATTAAGATGGCAAGGCAAATTTTATATAGAAAGAGAGACTAGAAAAATCCCAGCAAAAGTGAAACCAGCTTGGAGATTCATTAACAACAAATATAAAATCCCAGAGAGTGAGTGAGAGAGAGATACTTCTAGCATTTGATTTTGCATTCCCATTCATGTGTACAAAAGCTCAATCAGTCATTCGATCATTCGATCAACTCGATCGCTGTGTGGGCTGCAACGACCTTAAAAGGCCAACACCTCAAATGTGGTTTGTTTTGTGCACTTGAAGAAACAATTCCTAAGGAGTATATAAACCAACATTAACCCACATTAAAACCTATAGGTTCTAGCTTACTCTCTGGCATTTAAGATTCTTGCTTGGATTCCCTATTAATTAACAAACTAATATTGAATAAATTAGTTAATTTTTTCAAGTGTTCTTTGCATTTCTACTTGGCCATTGAAGGCTTCACAGAGCCATCGCTTTCTGTGCAGACAGTCGGGCGCCCTCCTTTAACCGGTTTCTTGGATATTTACTTGGGAGGAAAGTCATCTTGCAGAAGAGACTGAAGCCAATTTAAGACGATGACTAAAGGCCGCTAAGCGGACTAAGATCTGGACTGGAATATATTTGAACCGGAAGAAGATACACACACAAATAGTTTTTGATATGATTCAAGGCTTTAATTAATGCTTCAAAGAAAACAAAGACTATGCTTGCAGCTGTTGTATATAAATTTTAGAATCAGTTAATATGTAAGATATACATATATATAAATCAGGCAATTGGTTTACATTTACTTTAAATAAAGACTTAAATTTCCTTTGCTTATATAGCTCTCTTGTTTAAGCAACCAAAGAAATGAAACTAAAATCCACACAGAGACTTGAAGATCAGGCCTTAGCTTTGGTTACTTAATTAATAACAAACTAGAGCTTTGTAAATAATAACATAAGGAAACAATAAGGCAAATAAATAATTTAGAATAAGGATGGAGTCTTATTACGGGAAGTCAAAGTTTATATACTTAAACAAATTGCAATTGAATTATGGAATTGAATTAAAAATCTAGCATAATCAATATTTATTAATATATTTATATGACAATTCTTTCAACAAATCCAAATTTAAAAAACTCATAACTCAGCCAAAAAATTGTTAATTTTAATTCGGAAAGCAGTCTTATGTTAGTTTTTATAAGATTAACAAATCTGCATACTCAATTAAAAAATTGATATTTTTGTTGAATTTTTGAAAATTTTCACGATGTAACCCCTTATAAAATTTTGGGAAAATTTGTAAATTTTTTTTTGCTCTCTGAGATGGCTAGAAAGATTCGCCTGTTGATCCTGATCAAGTATATATATGATTTATAGGGTCGGTAATGATTCCTTCACTGCGTTTTAAGCTTCTGAGTAAAATTAGAATACCCTTTAAGGGTATACAAATAATTTACAAAATCTAACTGAACCTTTAAATAAAACATCTGTAAGAGGTAAATACCACCCTCCTCCCAACACTTACACTTCATCCGCATGCGATTCTTGATGGACTTCTTGTCATCCTCGCCGGGCAGGTCCAGGAGGTTACCAATGGAGACGCTCTTGAAGCGCTGCAGGATCGTCGATTGCTGCGTCTGCTGCAACTCATTGTCCTCCTGGATCTGCTGTGCCCGCAGAATGTCAGTCACTGGCACAATCTGCAAAAGACATGCAATGCATAAATATTCAGTTAAATAATACTGGAACTAAGAGTTAGGGAAATATGTATCTGTGGGAGAGTAAGGGGGGAGTTTGGGAGCTTGGAAAAGAGATTCATGGCATGAAAGCAAACAATTGAGATACACAATCCGACAATCCGAGTAACGTCTGCAAATTAATTGCAGCTTTTCGTGCCGTTGTCGATGTCTAGTTCTATTTCTTTTATTTTTTCTACTCTTCGCCACACAATACCCATTAGGGGAGGTGAAAACACACAAAGGTGTAGTGTTTTGATAAAAAAAAATAGTTATAAAATTATCTTCAAGATACTTATTAACGAAATAGTAGAGGCGTGAAGTACTTTAAGCACTTTATCAAAGAAATTAAAGAAAGAAAGAGGGGAAGGTGTCTAAATATGAGTAAAAATAGCTTAACATTTTTATTATAACTAACAAATTATATTTTTAAGTAGCCTTGACTAAAAATAAAGCTATTTAGCTCTTTAAAAACTTATAAATTAGACACAAAACTTTCTAGATATTAGAACAAACTAGATAAAAAACGTTGTTATATATTTCACAAATTATTTTAAGCAAATTTACACCAAACTTGATCACACAAAAAGTAGGTGGTATTTCGTGGTCGATAAAAAACTTAAAAGATCTCGACACAGCACCAGAAACTCTTTATTTCTGGAGGGGATTCTCCTCGTTCGTGGTTCTTTCTCTCTTATTTTCTTCACTTTTCTGTTTTATATTCTTTCTTGTTGTTTTTTTTTTGTTTCGCTCTCTCTCTTTGGTTCCGCCCATCGCTCACCGTTGTTTGCCTTCGCTTGGGATTCAATCTGCCCGTCATTTCTTATCTTTGTCGATTTTTTTTCACTCGCGCACGCTATATATATGCAAGCTACTATATCTTGGCTCTCCGTCCGGAACGGAACACAAAATAAAAACACACAAAAAGAAGGAACAACGAAAAAAGCACAAAAAAAAAAAGAGTAACCAAACAAAAAAGCAAAAACAAGGAAAATAGAGCGATATTGATAAGGAAATTGATTGCGATTTGTAAGAAATCGTGCTGAGCTAGAGCTCCGTTGCAAGCGTCCAAGATAACGGTTAATCGCACAGTGCCGCTCCAAGGTGTCGCAGCGAATGCATTTATCGGCATTGGATCCGCCCACCAACGCCCACTGTCCACCTCCTCCACCCCCGGTGGCAGCTGCCACCAGTACCCCTCCACCACTACCCCTCTCTCACTGTCAGTGCTAGTAGTTTACCTTATGTACAGTGGCATAAACAAAATCAGGCGTCTATATATTGGGTTGATATCTAAAACCATTCTACGGTTTATGTATATACAGCAGATACTTTAAATGGGTGAACTATAACTACTTTTATAGCTTAAAACAGGAATAGAAATATATTTCTAATAAATAATACAATAAATAATAAATAATTTATATATATATAAATTGGAATAACAAAATATATATAATACATAATACAAATAATATATTTAATATATAATAAATAAAAAAATAAATACTGTTTTTAATGGTTTAAATTGATAATTTGCCATCATACTATAAATACTTTACTAAAAACGCAAGTAGAAGAAAAATTCTCTAAAGAACCTGTTTTTATCAGAACACTAATATTACATTTAAAAAATATTAAAAAATTGTTTTTTACTTTATATATTATTTAAAAAAACTACGAAAAGTCTAGTTCATACTAACTTCAATAGAAAACCATAGAAATTTGATTTTAATCAGAAAATTTAATTAATATCCAATCAGCAAAAATATAAGGTAAAAAATGTAAACATTTAAGCGTATAAAATAATATGTAAAATTGAGCATAAAGTAATATGAAAAATTTGGTATTTAAAAGTATATAAATTATTATAAAAACTTAAACACATAACTAAAGTAATATTATGAAAAACTAAGCATATTAAGAGTCTGCATTATATATCATAATATCGATTATCTTTTCTATTACTGAATCTAACCTGTAACCATAAACCTTGCGGACAAAGTCCTCAAAAAAAAGCTTACTGCTGGCACCTGGAGTTTCCCCTGAATTTCGTCTGTTCAAACATATGTTTTTTGTGCCTCCCTCTCAAAGGTAACACCAACCGAACAATTCTACAAAAAATCCCTAAGCAAGTTGACAGCTTTATGGTTTTATTCGCAGAAACTAAAAAGTGTGCAAATTTAAAGTCAATTAAAAAGAAATTAGACGAAAGTGTGACTCGTTTTGACAAAGCTTACAAAACAGATAACTCAGTAGAAATATCTTTTATGTAAAATTTTAAATTTCAAAATAATTCCCATAATATTTATAAATTAAAATAATAATTTTCATTCCCTAAACAGTTTTGGGGTAACCAAATTAGTGAGGAATGGGGAAGTCTTTTCTTTGAGAAGAAAATCCTTGAGTTATTTTTATTGTAATACTATAATCGAAAGAAATATACTGCTTATTATTATAAGAGAAAATAATTCTTATAACAATATTTAAAGCAAGCAATTTACCCATCATCTTAACAAAACCATTAAAAATATCAAATAATAATATATATAAATAAACATAATATAGCATCTTTTGAAGCTAAAATAATTAATAAAAGAACTAAGGATACCTTTTCCGAAAGAGTATATTAGAACGTTTCAAATTCCCTCACATCTGCTGCAATTGCTACCATCGAAAAATGAGGCAAGGGTTTCTGTTCATATTATAAACAATGGAAAAATTAAAAGTTAATGATTACGTTCGCATACAATCGAAATCGTAGGCATCGTATCACTTTCGATAACAATGCGTCGAATTAGTGCAATCGATAAATATGGCATTTTGAAGTCGAACAGACCAACTTGTTAACTGATTAGAGTTTATTAGGGTTTGGACAAGTCGCTCTGCGTTCGCTCTTGGTATTTGTTATATTTTTTTGAATTTGAATTTGAAAATATTTCACGAGAATAAACAAAAACGTAGATTTTACACGGCAAATTGATGTGTTGAAATAATAACGGCAGAAGGCAGCCAGCCGCCAATTTAATTGATACGACCTCGGGGCCGGGTAGTACATGTGTTTGCTTTGCTTTCGCACAGATACAGCTACAGCTACAGCTACAGATACTGTATCTGTATCTACATATACATATATTGTTGCTATATCGTGATTCATTGAAACACCAAAAGAGCCACACCGAAAAAACCGAAGCGAACCAAAGAAAATACACAAATAAACCCGAAAGCCAAACAAAGGCGGCTCAGTTCGACCTTTTGTTTTGGTCTTGTGGCTTTCAGCAGAGAGTTGAGTTTTGTTATTTTTTTGCTTTTTTTTAAGTTTTTCCCAGCCCCAAAGGCAGCCTCTTTCCGTACAGATATATATATATATATATATATATACAACTTGGATCAATGGCCCTCACATATCTGCAAGAGTTAATTTGTGATCATTTTATCTCAAAACCAATTGACAGATTGCTTTTCACATTTAAACTAGAAGCTAAATTCCTACATCTCATAAAGCGTCTTAAACGCATTAAACACCATGGTAAGTTATAAATATTACTAAAGGGTTTAAGTAGACTTATTTGTTACTTATTTTAAGGTTCTTCTCGACCCTGAAAGCTTAATTGAATATGCAGAAATTCGGTTTAAATAAATATTATATATAATATATGATGATATAAACAAGTGAATATATACACTGTATAAATGATCATGTCAAGTAAATATATAACCTAACGATACATCACAAAGCCGGGACTCTTATTTATGGAACACTCAAGTTCCGTTATAATTTTTACAATCCAAGCGATAAAATTTTCTTGTGGCTCATCCAAAGGTTCAGTTCCAAGAAGGAGAAGGATGAAGAAAATGAAAAAAATCATATATATATATACATATGTTCAAACTGGAAGGAAAAACATTTCGAAAGACCCAAGAGTTACACAAAATATTTGACTAATGATTAACCAATTAAATGCTGATAAATGCGAAAGCCAACGTTCTGAGGCTGGGCTGGAAATTCGACAGAAAGCAACTGAAAAAGCCGGCCCATCAATGCCCTAAAAAAATGCATTAAACAATAATTAATCACAACAATATGCTACATTCTGCTATATTAATTACAAACCAATTAAAGAGTTTTTTAAACTAAAGTCATGCGGAAAACAAAGGTATCAACATATACAAACGAAAAGGGTATTAAAATTCAAAAGAGAATTCTTTCAAGCGGAGAACCGGTTTGCCAAAAAGTTTATAATAAAAATCACAACAAAAAAATTTAACTATACGTGTGTGTATATTACGGCAGAATATATGCAAAGCTCACAAGATAAATCAAACAAAATAAATAAAATAAATAAATGTCGTTTCGCGAAATCTGATACAACATTTAGGGGGAACCAAGCTGATAAAGGGGTATCAAAATAAGGGGTAAACCCCCGTTTTCCCAGCGAATTTCTATGGAATTTCTGAATGCATCAGCAGCAGCAGCGGCAAATGCAGCAAACAGAAAGCAACAAACGTGAGAGGCGAAAATAAATAAAGATACATTATGCAGAAAGCAGCAGCATATGGAAATTTTTTATATACAGTTTCATCTATATATATAAAGGTGTGACGGTTTTTTTTAAGTATGAAACAATCTGATTGTAAAGTTAACTCAACCGACTTGTTGCTTTTTTAATTTAAAGCTTCATTTTTGATCAAAGAAAATTATCTCAATTGTACATTAAAACTGAATAGGAAAAAATGCTTTTTCAAATGTTATGTCCTATATATTCCATTATATCCTTATAAAAACACTATAAAAATCCCTTACAATTAATGAAATAATACAAAAGCAGAGACTTTTCTCGTATTTAGGGCATTTTTCGCAAATTTTGGTAAACTCAGTGAAACGGAAGGTTGGTTAACTTGTTCAGGTCCCAGCCCCTTCCGCGGCAAAGAGGTTTACAGGTTCACATAGATCAGCTAAAACAATTGCAATGAAACCTTTCCGTTGGATGTAGGGGCAAAGGCACAAAGATACAGATACAAATACAAATACAAATACAAATGCAGATACAGATACAGATACATTTGCGGGATTTAATTGATGTGACAAGTGACATGTGTGGAAACAATGGCCAAATAAAGAAGCCGAGGGAATGTAACCATGGCAAATTGCGGGTGACATAGAGTACACTCAGAGAAATTCAATAAATACAAAATAATAATATTCAAAATTAATCCAAATGGAATATGCATTTCATTTGTGGTGTTTTAAACAAAAGATTTAAATCACAATCATTTAGAAACGATCGTCAGGTTGGTGTAATGGGAATATGACATGGTATCAAAACTATATTTATATACCTATAAGATATATATTTAATATATTGAATAATTTAACAACAGCTAAGAGCATTAAGCTCAAGGTTCTGTATTAAGAAAGAATAATAATAATAAGAAGCCTAGCATTAATTTTAGGATAGATTTTTCGTTACTTTAAGAACCTTTTCCACTTTAGTGTTTCAACCTCTGCCTTTTCTATGTATTATCTCCCATCTTTCCTATATTTCTCTTATACAAATATTCACCTTTATTTGTATAATTTTATTTATTTTTCATAAATATCAGAAATCAGCGATTCCTTACCATATCTTCCTCATCCTCACAGCAGTGGACATCCTGCAACTGCTCCCGCCATGCCAGCACCGAATCTGTGAGCAGAAGTCGGGCATTGGAGCGTACTCTTAGCTTGCGACCCGCTCTCGAGGCCACGCCCCTTTTGCCAGCCACTGCACCGGCGGCCAGTACCGCCCTCGCCCACTCCTCCTTGAGTGGCTGGGGGATGGAAGCCTCCGCTTGATCTTCCGCCTCACAGCTGCAGCCACTGTCATCGTTCTGTTGCTGCTGCTGCTGCAGTGCTGCTGATGGTGGCTGCTTCTGCTGATGAGGATGATGATGATGATGAGGATGCTGCTGCTGCTGGGAGGTTGGTACTGGTGGCGGTGGAGCTGGTCGTCGGATGCGGGTCATGAAGCGGAGATGAATCTGTGATCTCTGGTACTCGTAGAATATGGCGCTGTACTTCTTGTGCTCCTTGGGACTGTAGAAGATGCAGATGTTACGCAGGATGGGATGAATTAGGGGGGCTGGCTCCACGGGTACTTGATCCTTTGGCACGGTTGCTTGCCTGGCGCTACTACCTGTGCTACTAATGGAGCCCAGGGTGGCAGTGCTATTGGTAATTGTGCTGCCCAGACTCAAGCTATCTGCTGCTTCTGCCGAGGGCTCCACCTCCTCAGAGTTCTTGCTTTCCCGATGGAACATGAACTCCATGTCGGTTTCCCAGGCACCCTGATCCATGGAAGCGGTGGGCGATGGCAGGGGCGTGGGTAGCATCAGTTTAGAGCGTTTGGTCAACGTGGAAGTGGAGAGTTTGTGGCGTACGCCAGCGGCAAAGACAGCGGCCGCTTGGAGAGCCATTACATCTGCATCGGCATCGGAGGGCAGAGACTCGTCATAGTCCTCCAGGACCTCTTCATCATCCTCATCCTCATCGTCGTCGTCGTCCTCCTCCTCCTCCACCTCCTCATCATCATCGTCATCTTCATCCTCTTCTGCGTCTTCTGCAATTGTAGCTTGGGGTTTAACTAGTTCCGGATCCTCCAGCTTTGTTTGGAACTGCCAAATGGGTTGGTAAATGGATTCCTCCTCCTCATCCTCCACTTCCATATCCTGGCCGGAGTCTATCGTAGGGCTTTGCTTCTCCTTATCCAGGTCTCCATCCCCCTGCCGGGGATTACTTAGTGCCGTTTTTGGACTTCGAACCGGAACCTTGGGCGCCGGTCGTCGCACCTTGATAACGCAATTCTATAAAAATTTAAGTTGGTAAACAAAGATTGTCTTCAGGTTGACATATATTTTCGGTAATACTTTGAAAATATTCTGTATTATCCTTTCGAAATTGACTTACGGAGCGCGGCATTAGGTAAAGGGGTTTTATTATAAATTATACTGATTAAAAGGTATATTCTAACCAAGTTGATTTTACTTAACATTAAGTAATCTCTTTATTATTTAATTTCAATATTTATCTTAATATTCGTTAGATTTTATTATAAAAGTATGCCTTATTTCCATTATTATTATTTCAATATTTATTTTTATATTTTTTAGATTTTATGATAAAAGTTAATTTCCTAATTAGTTTTATTTTAATTGAAATTGTTGTTCTTTTTTTACTAATATTCATAATTAACATGCTCTCATAAATGCAAATAATGAACTTATTTACTTAAAAAAGAACTTTTTCTAGCAATCACAATCATAAATAATTTTTTCACTATAATTTTCATGTTCACCAATTCTGGCGCAAGTATGGTAATACTTTTTCCAATCACCAAAACCACAACATAAAAAAAGAACGTTAATTAAACGCTGATTATTTTATAGTTATCTTTTGTTTTCATAGCAAATTTGTTTGTTTTTCCTGCACATTTTTTTCTTTCTTTATTTTTTTTTGCTTTGCTAAGTTTAATGGTTGTTTTTAATTAGATAAGGTTGTTTGTTTATTTGTTTGTTGTTGTTGTTTTTCCTAATAGCCAATGGAATATTGGCATCCCTGTCGCACGCGAAACCGTTAGTCAATTTCGAATTGCAGTAAAAAGCAACAAGTACACTGAGCAAAAACAGGGGAATTAATATTAAATATACACATTTTAACACTTCAGCACGTGGTATAAATATTAAAAAAAAATTAATATAATATTTAAAATGACACTTAATTGGATTAATTTTTGTTGTGACTATTTTCTCCCTGTGTTTGCTTTATTTTTAATTTGTTTTTGATTTGTTGTTGCTTTGCATTTTCTTAATGAATGTTGACCTGTGTGATTTGTTGCTGCTGCTGCTCCTGTGGCTTTTGTTGTTGTTGCTGCTGATCGCTGACATTGCAATTGCTCATGTTGTTATTATTATTATTGTTGTTGTTGTTGCTGCTGCTGTTGCTGTTCGTGCTGCTGTCATTGTCATCATTGTTATTGCTGGTGCTATTGTTGTTGTTATTGTTACTATTGGGGCGCTCTGCCTCGCTTGTTGTTTTTGGCGCTGCCATCAAAGCTCTGCCGCCTGCGCAGTTGCTGCCGCTATTACTACTATTGTTTATTGCGCTATCACTCGCACTAACACTGTCACCCACTCGCGCTCTCCCGCTCGCACCGCACCCGCTCTCTTCACAACGATTCCGCTTCGGACGCGCAGCGGCAGCAGCATACACGTCGTCACGTACGCTGGAAAAAAAATGTTTTGAAACTGTTTCTCAGCTACTCGCATCTTTTATACGGCGCCCTCTCTCGCTCTGGGACTACAGCGAGTGAGAGAGAGGGCACCAGTGCTGTCACTTTAGCTTTATATAAATGTTAGATTAGTCGAAGTTCAATACTAATGTTATTAGCCATAAAAATTTCCATTGGCAATTTTAGCTATTTTGTTACTCAGCTATTTATCTACATTTTTATGAATTTTCCTTTTATTTATTTAAAGCTATAAGATTTATTTAAAACTAGAAGACATAAATGCTAACTTCGCCTTCTTTTATATCTTTGATTGACTGCATATTATTAAATAAATACCTAGATTAATTTTTTTTATTTATTTTAGCTAATTATATTTTTAGGAAATTAAAAATAATTTTTAGCAATTTCTAGCAACTGTTTATATTATTTGATATATATTTTTTTGCTTCGGAGAGTCTAACAGCACTGGTGAGCACCGCTGTGGGCTTACAGAAATTTCTGTTACGCTGAGAGGTGTTCTCCCATACTAACAGAACTGCTGCTAATCGGAATTCGCGGGCTCTGATCGACGATAGAAACAACATTTCTTGCTAGTGCTTTAATTAATTGTAAAGAATGTCGATAAAATTGACAGAAACATGCCTCAATAAACAGAAAATTAAATTCGGAGGCCTATTTGGAGCGCGAATTTCGTTTAACAGTGACTGTAAATTAGCATTTGAATTAGAGTTTTCAGTTAATACCGTCTGTTAGGAGAAGGCTTTTGGCTTGAACCATCCTGGGTTTTGGAATTCCAGCTAGCAGGCATCTCTTTTAAGATGAGAGGCGCTCGGCCGCTAACAGAGCTTGGCGCAACAGAACGAGCAAAGAGACGTCGCCACTCGTGCCTTGGGTCACGCGCTCTCTCTCGGCCGCGATAACCGTTGATCAGCAGGCGTTGTTGTTGCTCCCAAAGCCACTGGCTGAGCGATTTGTCATAGGCGCTCAATGGGCCACGCACACAGACGTGCAGGCTAATTGAGAGAGCAAGGCTCTGCATGAGCGGCAAGAGCGGTATATTGGGCAGTGCCTTCTGCTCTTCCACTCGGCTCACGGTCGTTGGGAGCTGTTGCTGCTGCTCCCCCTCCTGTTGGTTCCCTTGGGGTTGTGGGTGACTCTGGCTGAGGAACTCATTCACAAACTCCGCTGTTATGCCGCACCGACGCTCTTGCGGCTCTCTCTTTAGTTGCAGCTTTCTCTTAAAATCACTGACCAAACTTAGTTTGTCCTCCTTGCGTAGCCTTACAGGTTCCTCCACATTTGGTTCTCTTTCGTAGGCGGCTGGCACACTCTTTGGCAACTGTTGCCATGCCCCCGCCCCGTCGTCATAGTGATGCACTTGTTGCCGCAGTGACGTCATCCAGTGACAAATGCTTTCGTTTAAATACAAGGATGCTGCTGCTACGCTTTCTCTGTCGCTCTGTTGCAGCAAACGCATGCGTGAAAGTCGGGGACGCTTGCGCTCGGCCTTATCCGGCTCTGGCTCTCTTACCCGCCCGTAAATATGTTGGTCGCTTTGGCTACTCTTAAGCTGCAGCTCGCTCTTAAGCTGGCAAATCCGTTGCATGTCAAAGGTCTCTTGGGTGCGAAAGACCTCGTCCACGTTGTGAATTATTTCCAGGGAGCCACCGCCGCCGGCCTTCACTTCGCGCTGGAAAAGTTTGCGTTGGAGGGAGGCAGAACGATTGAGTTGCTTCAGGGAGCCAAAGAGGCGGGTCAAGGTCGCAGCGCTGCTCTTTGAGTAGTTCAGGAGAGTTCGCGATCGACTGCCGTTGCTCTTTGCCGCTGGTAGGGAGGTAGGCTTAGGCAGTGGCGTAGGGGTGGGGGTGGTTGTGGGCGTGGGGGTGGTGTCCTTGCTATTTTCCTTTTGGCACTGGCACTTTTCGTTGTCACTGTAAATGCCGCGACACAGCTCACAGATATTCTCATAGATATTGCTCTCCTGTGGATTCTCTGTAGAATTCTCTGCCAGTGGGGTGGCATGCACCACCACCCCACCGCTAACGATGCACTGACAGAAATGGCAGTATCGTCCTGGAGCCCCGAACACTCCATAGCCACAGCCGGCGCATAAATTCTCGTAGATTGCCTCGCGACGAAAATATTTGCGAAGAATCGGAACGGGATGATTTTTCGGGATCTTGGTTGATGCAGATTTCGGGGATGTACCCGGCAGATTCTCGTAAATGTGTGAATCCATTCCAAAGTTGTCGTTAATGTCTGCCGTCGTTGTGTTGCAATCGATTTCGTTCGGTAGCGCCGGCATTTCGAATTGATTTTGTCGAGTCTTTTCTCCAGGGAATCACTTTGTAACTGCTACTTTTTTTTTCTTCTCCGGAGATTTAGCTTATCGCATGGTGAGTTATGGGACTGTAACTCATGGTTAAGTGAGAAAAATAACAACCAAATGAGGCACTTGAAGGGATAGTAATATATTGTAAGAAATAGATAGATGGGGAAAGGGAGTGAGAGAAGAGCACAGAAAGAAAATCCAGATAAGACAAGTTAAACACTAAAAAACCATTAGTATTATTCAATTATTTCGATTTCGTGTGAGAAGAACAGTATATTTTAACTGAGCAAAAATTATACTTTTGTATCCCCTTATTATACCATTTCTGGGTATCCTAATTTCAGTCAGAAGCTTGAAACTAAGTGAAGGAATTATTTCCGACCCTATAAATCATATATATTATTGATCAGCATCAAAAGCCAATTCAATCTAGATCATTTTTGACAAAAAAAAAATTTACAAATTTTTTTAAATTTTATAAGGGGTTACATCGTCAAAATTTTTAAAAATATGAAAAAAAAATTCTGTTTTTTACATTTTTAATTGAGTATGCAGATTTATTACTCTAATAAAAACTAACATAAGACTGCTTTCCGAATTAAAATTAATGATTTTTTGGCTGAGTTATGAGTTTTTTAAACTTTGATATGTCGAGAAAATGTTCACATAAAAATATCAATAAATAGCTTAGTTATGCTCGATTTTCGCTACGATCCAACAATTAAATTACAAGCTTTTTACTTTTTTTCTACGGTGTATAACTCAATCTGTTGGAAATATTAAAAACTTTAATGTTACATTTCCAGTGAAGGCGCTATCTCAATGGCCCCGCCTAGCTATCTCGCTCCCTCCTGCACGCAGTGTTTACTCATTATCTCAGTCACACTGGAACGAGAGTCACTGCACTCTGCATTTCTCAATTGGCCTCCAGTCATTCCAGAGCCACTACCATTTCCAAGCCGAGTCTTCCACATGGTAAACTTGGAAGCGAACTCCTTGAGCTTTAACCTTTGAGTGGTCAGTGTGCTCATATTCATATTTGCTAAATAGCATTAATAAAATCTGATCTGGCTTTTAAAAATTCTTAATATTTATTTAACTCTGATTTGAAAATATCCCCTAATTAAATATGTAACATTGAGGCTAAATTAATAACCAGTTTATAGATGAACTCTTTTCTAAACTACCCAAATGATTAATTTATGATTCGTTTAATTATGCGCGCTTCATTAAATACAAAAAAACGTAAATTTGTATCGTTTTTATAGTTCTTTCAATTAGGAAAAACCATTTCCCGCGGCATTAGAAAATAGTAAGACCCCTAAATCATTTTTCCAGCCACTGCCTCAAGGTTAAAGCATTAACTGTTTGCATTTCTTCTAGCTGAAAATGTATTGTTTTTGTTTTTGTTTTTTTTTTGTGTGGTGATAATGGGGATGAGTCACTGAACCGATCCAGCAAACCATGTCGGCCAAAAGGGGCTTAACCCTCTCTCAGTTCCAGAGCCCAAATTAAAGGCCATGAAAACGTAGGAGAGAGAGGTGAGAAGTGGAGACAGATAAGCGAGAGACGAGAGCCGAGAAACCCCCGCAGAAACAGGTTGGCCTGCCCGAGAACTGTGCAACTCACCTACGCCTCACAGGTGCCGCCGGTTAAATGGAATGTTGAATGTTAAAATATGGAATGTGCACTTGAAGAAAATTCTTAGTCTAAAAAAATTAGTTTTAAGAGAATTTAATGGTTTAACTTTTTTAGAGAGTACCTTATATGTGTTTTACAAAATAACAACTTTTAAATAACTGCTTGTACATGGCAAGCAAAAGACAAAAGACCAAGTTTATTCTCTATTTTAACTCAACTTTTTTGTGAGTGCACAGATTCCAAAAAAACGGAAGGCGAGAGTGGCCCTAATGGAGTTGAGGAGGTGCCAAGACACCAGACTCCAAAGATTAATCTCTTGATCGGTCATATGTGGGGAACATAATGCCTATCGCAATGGGAGATCATAAAATCTTTTTTCGGCTGGCTTCTTGTTATTAGTCATTTCGTAATCTAGGATCTTGGCCATTAATCATGATTGGCTTGGGGGCGAAAAAGGGAAACTGGTTAAGTTGAATGGTTAAATTAAATGTGTTTTCGTTGAAAATATATTTATGTATATAAAGAAAAATTATGCATGTAGTTAAATCATTTTATAAAATGTTTTAAATTTTATTTTGGTAAAATCAAAATTAATTAAAAATTTGTTTCTTAATTTTAAGTCAGTCTAAAAACTCCAATATAGCAGTGCTTATGGAATATATTAGTATAGAAATATATATAACAGCTTCTTTTCTATTATTAGGTTAGTCACTAATTCTGCACCCAATTTATACTCTTTACACTACAGTATTTAAATAAGTCTTAAATATTCTTTAATTGGTGTACCTGTATCTAACCCTATTCCTTGAAGTTCTATGACAAGGCTTAGCTCAACATTTTCAATTTTATTTATGAATCCGATAAGCTCACATCCTTATCACTGGCATACTTTTGGGCATTGGATCAAGACCTTAATGACCTCGTTTAAATTATGCAGTTTTCAAGGAAACCCAAGGCAAAAAGAATAATAATTAAAAACACCATGTAAACAGGGGATTGTAAATTATCTTTGGATTTGCCTATATGCTGACGAGGAATGATGATTCACCGACATCCATTTGCGGATAGCGACAAATGAATGAATGATGATGATGAATGCTTACAATGTATTTGCAATTGAAAAACACACAATATATAGATACATGTGTGTAATTTATGTACTGCTATATATACATGTATAAAAAGGGGTTTGGTCCCATGGATTTTCCCATTTCTGTGCCAGGTTATATCTCTCACTCTCATTAACCCTATTTTCTCTCACAATAGATCCCACTTTTCCGTTTAATGTAATTTATAGACTTTTATTTGGTCGATCGATTCACGTTTTCGCTTTCATTTTTGTTCACAACTCTCGCAAACACAGAACAAAAAATTAAGTCACTGATAAGCGGGGATTACGAAATCGGTCTTGATTTTCTCTTAGTATTGTTATTAGTAGGTTCTCTCTTCTATATATGCAGATCCTACAGATCGGAGCTGCAGGCGCGACGCGTTCGCGAATTTAACAGAATATCAACTGAAATTGAACTCAAGATGCCGTCGAGCATTTTTTCTTGGGTGGCGGCGGCGGCGGCGGTACGCCTCGCAAGCGTCGACGCTGCTGCCTCTGCCTCTGCCGCAGTCTCTGTCGACGTCGACAGCAGATGTCGGGTGGCTATAGCGATGCCGACCTCCGGTCACCCACAGAAAGCGAGCACCACTCCCACACTAGTCTACAAAGTTTTTTGGGGATTTTGATAAAGTTCTATAGGAATGTAATATAGATTCCTTGATTAGAAATTCTAATTTAGAAAATAAGAGAGCTAATTAAGAATGTAACTCCACGTATTCTTTGTCCTCTTTTATGAATAAAAAAATTGGGAATTCTAAACCCCTGAAAATTAATATCTATATCAAATGGAGTTAATTATTATCCTTCTTAAATCAAAATATTTCTGAATTACCAAACTCAGAGTTGGGAATTCTAAATTAATATCTGTATCAAATTGGTCTAATGACTATTCTACAAATAATTAAGAAATTAAATATATAGAAATATATTGTATTATATTCCCTAACAAAACTTAAACTTGGGAATAAATGAATTATTCTCCCACTAGTTTTTTATATTTATACCATATTATTTTATTAATTCTAAGTATAAAAATAGTCTCACTTTTACAATCAGTGAATAAGAATATTTCTCACATAGATGCTTTAATTTCCTGTTGACTAGTGTTGGTCACAGATCAGCTCAGATGGGGAGGTAAAAGCCCAGCGCAGAACCAAACCACGCAGGCCAGTGCAGTGTGGAACATGTGTGTAATGGAACATGGACAACATGTGTGCCCCTTTGGGGTGTTCCACAATGTATGTGGCTGTGTGTGTTTGTGGAGAGAGGGTGGGGGGTTATGGGGCGTGGCAGCGACAAAAGACGCTTTTTATACTCAACGCCCGTTGCCTAATTAAGCATATCGAGAGTATTACCCGCAGAGGGAATCCAAGATCCGCGATCCCATATACATACATATATGTGATGAATAAATATATAAATATGTATGTAAACTATATACAACAGTTGCGTAAAGCCATTACAATATAGTTTTTGCAAGCGATTCCGATATGGAAATGAGAGCTGTACTTTGGACATGAAACAAGCCTTACAGCTCAAGTTGAAATAATAAACCAGAGATTATTTTTAACACTCCTTGAAGCGAGAGTCATTTGAGGGATATGCTTGAGGGTTTTCATAAAAAATATATATAAAATATATGAATAAATATTATATATTATTTATTTTAATCTAGCCTCTTCTTAAACACTTTAATGCTAGCATTTCCACCCAAGTTGTGTTTGCACACACAGATGATGATATATTCCTGGCTCCCCCATATACTATTATAGTCCATATAGCAAGTGTCCGATATTTAGACTGGGCAAACAACGGATTCTGTAGAAGCTAGACCCAATGGAGAATACGGAAAAGGGCGGGGGAGAGGAGAGATCAAGATGGGGAAAGCATCTGTGTAGAAAAACTGCCATCCGGAGAGGGAGAGAAAAATGGGGAATAAAATGGGGAATCGAAAACGAAAAACTAAAAACGAGAAACGAGTCTCAGTCTGACGAGGAAGAATCGCAATGCAGCCGATGTTCTGGCATTATGGTCGCTTGATCTTTGAACTAAATTAATTAAGCACAATGAACACCAGTGCTGCTGTTGTTGTTGTTGTTGTTGTTGGCCTGCTTGCCTCTTGTTTTTCCGCTTCTGTCAGCATCAAATGTATCCAGCAGATACACACTCACACACACACACAACCGACAAGAAAGGAAAGAAATGCATTTCAGGCTTGTGACCAATATTGCAGGCCATGTTTTTATATTAAAAGGGGATTTTTTGTATACCCTGTAAATATTATTAAATTTACAAAATGTAATAATTAAATTAGGGAAAGTGCTGTTAGATTTCTAAAGTGACATATTATATTTAATTTAAAATGTTTATGTTATTAAACTTTGTAGTTGTCTAAGGCATTAGCTCTGGGTCTCTTTGCCAATTTCGAATTCTTGCAAAGTTTATTTAGAGGAATTCTTGTAATACTATCACAGGGTATTACTAATTCACAATGGTGGAAAACGCAATGTCTTAAGAACATATTTTTCCATGTTTTCGCTTTCAGTTGCCGTTGATTTTCTTTTATTTTTTGTTTTGTACCCGGCTCATATTTGGTTTGGCTTTTCTGCGGGTCTTCCTCGGCCGCCTTGTTCCAAAAAATAAAAAAATTAAACAAAAGAAAAGGAAAAATAATAAGGGGTGGCCCTAGGCTTCTGGCCCGTGGATGATGACTGACGGTTGGCCATGTCCCCATCCAAATCCCTGTCCAGATCCAGACTCGCGTCTTTGGCAGCATTATGTTTTTTTTGTTTGTCCATAATGAGTTGACTGCGACGCCGGCAGAGGCAGTGATGAAGAGAACTTATAGCTTAACTTATATAAAGTATATATATATATAATACAAGTAAATAACTATGACCAGTAAGTAACTATGATCAGTAATTATCTACGATTAGTTAGTAACTGTGATCAGTCATTAAATATGATCAGTAATTCACTATGGTCAGTTACTAACTTTGAACACTAATAAACAATGACTTGCAATTTTTGTAACACAACACATATCTGGGACTAGGTTGGTAGAAGTCACTTCGTTCCGGGGATGTTAGAACTAGTTGGGAATCATATGCCCAGATGTGCGAGATTTGTTTTGGAACAAAGAGCTAGCTATTGGAATAAAATTTAGGGCTATTCTTCTATATAATTTTACTAGTATATAAGTCGGAGCATGGAAATCGGTGGACTATATTTGTGAATATATATACAAGCCATAAGAACGGTCTGAAAATTTTAAGAAACTTGATTATAACTTTTCCAGTTGTCAACAGATTTTCATTAAATTTGATATATAGCCTTTATATATTTATCTAGAATTTTGTGTAAAATTTTATGAAAATCGGACTATTATATCATATAGCTGCCATACAAACGATCGTTAAAAATAGAGGAAAATGCAAATGCTTTTTAACATTAATTTATAAAATTTATATTATTGAATTTCAATCTGCAAAGGTATACAAACTTCGGCGTGTCAAAGTTAGCTTCCTTTCTTGTTTTCAATATGATACTGATACTATAAAAAATTAAATATACCATTTGCTGATCCCTTTAGATATAAATATTGAAGTATAATCAATATAATCCCCTTTAACTATAAAGCCAAATTGTCCAACTCTGATGCTGCCCTGCATGTCAACTGTGCTTGTATGGGTGCCCCCACCCCTTGAAGCCACACCACCACCACCCCCCACCCACTCCATTCCTTTCATTTTATTATTATTATTGTTGCTGTTGCTGTTGCTGCTGTGCCTCCTCTCCTCCTTTCCATCTCCTCTCTGTTTTTTTTTAATGAATTTTATTAAGCGCGACAGCAGCAGATAGATCAAGTGGTGAGAAGGGGGAGAGGGGTGATGCCAGAGCGGTGACCAGGAGGGGACTTTGTCGACGCCTCAAATTAAAATAAAGAGCTTGGTGGTCACAAAAAAAAAACAACTCAAATTAGTTCGCTCTTTTTTTTTATTGACCAGCATGGGTGACTCATTCAGTGTTTTATATTGAGTATTCAGGCGTGAAATCTAATCCCGGGAATTAGTCAATAATTGATAAATAAAACAATTTGTGGAAAATGGTGTGGAATAAGCGATAAAAATGTACTCAATTTTTAAGTGTTTTTTTTTGTTTTTGGGTTTATGCCTCTCTTAATGGCAATTATCAAAATCGGCTTGATTAAAGCGGGGGATAAATTAAATTAGTTAGACTTGAAGATATTTTCAACTATTTTGTGAACCAAATTAATCGTTATGATATATTTTATCTAAATTCATATAATTTAGACATTTATCTATAGCTTATACTTGGCACTGCTATCATTGTGTATTCCTGCCTTGCATTTATTGCAACTTAATTTTATTTATCAGTTTTTTTAGGTACGTGACAAATGCACTTTGCATAATTGTGTCATTTTATATTGTGAAATTCCTGGAAATTATTCATTTCAAGGAACGGAATAAGGAAATAACTTTATAGTAATACCTAAAAATTAATTCATTGATTAATTGTAAAATAAAAGAAAATTTCCATATTTAAATCATGAACTCAAAGTTAAAATAAAAACAATCTAAGTACTAAAAACTTAATGAAGACTTCCCCCATTTTCCCATAGAACCTACAGTATCCCCAGATATCTTTATCTCTGCCCAATAAACCCTAAAAATGTGACTCAGAAGAACCATTTAAGATACCACAAACTGGAGATAAAAAAAGAAAAGAAAATCTAGAAAAACCAAAGGGATGGCGATAAATGTGAGATACAAGCGACATGAAGAGGGTTAAAATTGGAAGCTGAAAAATGGGTTTTTGGAAGCCGAATTTCGAATTGAAATGAGAATGTCAACTCAAGTGTCAATCAGTTGCATTAGCAAACAAAGAAAAAAGAAAATACAATATACAAAATTAAAAATGAGAAGAAATTTTGCTGGTGGTGTTTTCTGTTTCGGTTTCTCTTGCTATCATAAGTACGAGAAAATAAGCGAGAAAATGGGAAAATAAAATGCATAAGAAAAGGCAAATGGGAATGAAATGCACACAACAGTGTCTATGAACTGATGACAAAATTGTTTCAGTCGCCACTCTTCGGCGAAGCAAATGATAAGGCCAGAGCTACACAGCTAAAAAATAAGGGTAATTGTAAATACAGCGTATTATAATTTTAGTCAGAAGCTTAAAACGCTGTGAAGGAGTCATTTTCGACCCTATAAATCATATATATTCTTGATCAGCATCAAAAGCCGAGTCGAT